AAAAAAAAAAAAAAAAAGAAAACCGGAACCCATGTCTGATCGGTGGATAGACAAATTTCGAGTGGGTATACATAATATATATATATTCTCGCCGTGAAAATTGCACAGATCATCTCGAGGTGGAAGAAAACATAAACGCATTCGTGTGCAGAGGTGCAGGTGGCAAAATCGGAACGGAAAGTGAAATGTGAAAGTGAAAAAGAGCTTCAGAATTCTCCACAGGGAGACAACACAGATGGTAAATCTCGTCGATGGTGCGATCACGAGCAAAATTCATAAACTGCATGATATGACAATAATAAGAAACGAAAAGATGTGATTTGCGTAAATAGGTGTATAAAGAAAAGGGGGAGGAGGGGGAAGGGGGGGTGGGAAGGGGGAGCGAAAATATAGAAAAAGAAAAGACGAATATGTCGAACAGGCGACAACGAAATAAATAATAATATTCTGTGGAGGTGATATACGAGAGGGAGTAAAAGCAAGCTAATACAGTATGAACCTACCGAGGCCTTCGAGTTCGGGAAAATTAGGTGCTTGGACTAGAGGGACAACAAAACATATGACATTACTGCATTAGTATGAATTCATTGACAGACGATCGTGAAACTCGTTCTGCTGTGCCTTAGCAAGTAATCAAGAAATTTCATCCTTGTAATCTTCAAGCTTCAGATTGTATCTGTTTTGCAAACTGATTTCAAATCTTAATGCTTTATTATTATTTGAGCAAGAGAGTGAAATTGGCTTTGCCAACGGTCGAATCATTAACGATAGACAGACAAACGAGCAGAAAGGGTTTCAAAATCCTGAAGACATAATAATGTTCCTCCGTTTTAAAATTAACGATAACGAGCTTAAGAATGAAGGGGCTCGAGTCTAGACTCTGCGAGCAGACAGTAAAAATAGAGCGGCAGAGTCCAAACCCATACGATCATGAGAGAACCGGTGTTCCCCGAATCTGTGTCAGGTATGCGAAATACTTGGAACAATCTCAAGTTCGATTGTTTTGCTCGGTACACGATTGGCACAGATTCGTAGAACATTCGTTCGACGGGTAATGACACACCGAGTATAAAATGTAAGAGAACTGGCAATGACAAACGAGTAGAGAACTTTCAAGAAACCATAACCAGAATAATAATTTAAACGTGTGAGCTGATTTGGTCAATCGAGTTGGCCCTTTCTCTCCTCTTTTTCCTTTTTTTGTATCTGGCTTGACAAACGAGTCTGGCGCGAGGAGACGAATGTCCGTAAAGTTGAAAAATCGAATCGAAAAGGGCTCGAAGAATTCGAAGAAAGGGGCAATAATAAAATGCACTAGCAAAATAACATCGTTTAAGAAGCCGTCTATACATACGAGCGAGTGCAGTGCGTGGAACGTAATCCCGTTTGCCATCATTTATTCGCCGTTTCTTTCACGTATTCGCGGGCTACGTGTAATTAATTATAGACTTATCGATCCATTCGCAGAGTGTTTCCCTGTTGACGTAGAGTGGCTCTTGCGTGCGAACTCTGTTCTTCTCCAACAATAACTCTCAAGAATAGCCGTTTTATAATAGAACTGTCTAACTGTTTTCTCTGTTAAAAGAAGTCCATCAACAAAACGAAACACCCTGTAAAGGTTGTTCATAGAGACATTTTGTGTGAGCGAAGTCTGTCACAGTATATCTTACAATCATTGACTTAATCATTCCGAGAAAAAAAAAATATATATATATATATATATATATTATAGAGAAAGAGAGAAAGAGAGAGAAATTGAAATATATCGAGTTCCACAGAAAGAGAAATCGATCGAGTTCCATGACACTTACTGTCGAAACTGACAAACAGCTCGGGCATATCTTCGACAGAGACCATGCTACGGTAGTCCAATCGAGGAGCGGTGGTCGACGTTTTGCTACCTCGACTGCTGTCCACGCTGCTGCTACCTGACGACGTCAACGGTTGCTGCCTGATGAACGTACCCACGGAAGACCGCCTGGAAGGAAACCAGAAAAGTTATTGACCATCGATCCATTAACCACGGCACGAGAGATCGCGTTTCAAAATCACGAGAATTCACTGTTTCGTGTTCCCTGTAATTTCGAAGCAGCGTACACTGAGTGATGTACATATTGCAACATGATAGAGAGCGGTCAAATCGTGGAGAGACAATGACATTTAAGATAGATGTTCAAACTGTATCCAACGTGTATGTACGGCGAAATAAAGTCGGATGGCTGCTCAGGTGTTACTAAAACGCTGTGTTCGACTGAATCGTGTGTTGTCTGTAAGCGATAATTGTAGAGCTGTATATATATATATATATATATATCTTCTGATGTGATTTCTGAAAAGATAGTAGCACGTTTACCTGAAAGCAGGAAAACAAGAGAATGCTGATCTTTCTCAACTGTCGAGAAAGGTTTAACAGAAAGTACAAACTTGAAGTGAGACAGGGATAGGTGAAGATAGTATAACGAAGTATAGAGTATGTTACATTATGGATGCTTGAACTGAGGTGGAACTTACAAGAAACTCGAATTAATTTCACATCCTGCGAAACATAATCGTCGGTCGCATAAAAAACTGGCAAAGAGAGCGTGATCTCACAGCATGAGTATTCACGTACATAATTATAAGGGGATACAA